TTTGAGATAGAGTCTGGCTCTGTTGCCAGGCTGCAGTGCAGTGGCACGATCTCAGCTCACTGCAATCACTGCCTCCCAGGTTCAAGAGATTCTCCTGCCTCAGCCTCTCAAGTAGCTGGGATTACAGGTGAGTACCACCACACCCGGCTAATTTTTGCATTTTTAGTAGAGATGGGGTTTCACCATGTGGGCCAGGATGGTCTTGATCTCCTGACCTTGTGGACCACCCACCTCGGCCTCCCAAAGTGCTGGGATTATAGGCATAAGGCACCAAACCAGGCCTATGTATTCTTTAACAGGTTTCAAATACTTTTGGGGGACTTAGTGGTTTTATATTATAAAAACTGTCAAGCCTAGGACTGCCAAATTCACAGGCACTGGGCCAGAGGGGGCTTCTTTGACTGGTCAGATGCTTTGGGTCTGTTCCCTTAGAATTGTTCCCTCCCAAGCAAAAGCCACAGTAACTTGTGCTCATCCTGGAAAAGTGAATACTGCCCAGAGCTCCAGAGACAGTAAAAGGAAGGAAAGGACCCTCTCCTCATCCCTGCTAACGTCCCAGACTCTTAAGGCCAGGAGGCAGGGACCTCAGCAGAAAACTAGAGGTTATTTCTGGGACTGGGAATCTGTGCTTATGGAGATTATGCAAAAATAGGAGGGGAAGTTTGGCACCCCTGTCAGAAAGAGAATGTGACCTTGTACTGTCTGATTCGCAAGGGCTCGGCAGGTCACGAGAGGAACACGTAAGCTGTTATGCAGGTAGGGGCTGGGGCGGACAATGGGCTGGGCTCGGCTGGTGACTCCTCACCATTCCTTGGGTTATGAGCCAGCTGTCTATGGGTTCCAGGTCAGAGTCCCCACCTCTACCTCTCTTCTGGGCCGAGGAGAGAAAAGTCTCAGAAAGAAAAGTCACAGCAAGACCCATGAGAAAGAAGTCAATAGCACATATTGTGGAAACAGAAAAGTTACTCTTCAGACGTGACCGTTTGCCATTTAAGGAAATGTAATGCCCCTGCTCCCAACCTCCACCCCTGGCATGTCCCCCTTACCTGCCTGGAAAAAAGAAGAAAAGTTTAGTAACCAAGAGTCCCAACAGGATAACATATACTCATGGCAACTACTCCCGTGCCCTTGGGACGTCTCCGGGAGATCACAGAAGGCTGACCAGAGCTGCTTCTCTAGATTCTCTGACAGGGTTGGCAGGGGGTCAACTTTTCAAAGAACCAGTTTTACAAACGCATTTCTACTTTTTTCTAGCTTATTCCTGCACTTTTTCTTTTTTACTCTTTTCTAGTGGCTTGTGTATTCTTTTTCTAAGCTCTTGAATACTACATTTAGGTGTATTCTTTATTGCCTTTTAAAATATTTATTTATTTATTTGAGATGAGGTCTCACTATATTGCTCAGACTGGTCTCAAAAACTCGTGGGCATGAGCGATCCTTCTGCCTCAGCCTCCTGAGTAGCTGGGATGACCTTTACTTGACTGAGTTGGCTGGATCTGATTTCTGGAGGTGTGGCTACATAATTTTCTCCCCTTCCTTATTGTGTTCTTAATTTCTCCCTTGGCCTCGTTTTCATTTCCAGGTCAACGTGGCTTGGGATAGGACAAGGTAACCTGAAATGCTGCAGGTGGGCAAGAATATGTGTGGACACACAGACACACACAACCCACATGCCCTGCTGCCCCATATCACTGAGGCTGTGGCTGTGGCATCGCTCCATTGAGCAGCAAACATGAAAAGCAATCTGATGGCTGGGTGCAGTGACTCCCGCCTGTAATCCCAGCACTTTTGGAGGCCAAGGTAAGTGGATCACCTGAGGTCAGAAGTTCGAGACCAATCTGGCCAACATAGTGAAACCCTGTCTCTACTAAAAATTATCTGGGTGTGCTGGTAGGTGCCTGTAATACCAGCTACTCATGAGGCTGAGGCAGAAGAATTGCTTGAACCAGGAAGGTGGAGGTTGCAGTGAACCGAGATTGCACGACTGCACTCCAGCCTGGGTGACAGAGTGAGACTCCATCTCAAAAAAAAAAAAAAAAAAAGCAATCTGTCTACCATTGTGTGGAAAACCTGCCGGAGTCATCAGGACCTCTGAAAACAGGGGGCTAGTCCAGCCACACATGCCATGTGTGAAGGGCGGGAAGTCACTTACATCTCCCGGGCTCAGACCCAGGCCTCAGCACTGATAACACCAGGGGTGCAGCAGGACACACCCTGGCATGGACAGAGTGAGGGACAAATGAGGTCTGCCTGACAGGGGCACAGGGCTGTTCCCAACCCAGGCCAGGGTTGGCCAGGAGGAGGGGAGGTCCTCACCAGGCAGTATGCTGGTAGGCCTACTGGGCTCTCTAATGCCCTCCCTGGGGCAGGTGGGAGGACATTCTAAGTAATGGGAGAATCAGAGCCATGAGCACTGCCTTGATTTTGGGTGTCCTAGTCTCAGGGGTTCAGGTGGCACTGCCCACTCCTGTGGCAAGGCAGGGCACTGAAAACCCAAGGCAGCCTATTGGTTCTTCTGCGCCCCCTGGTGACCAGTGCAGAGGGATGCATGCCCTCAGCTCCAGCAGGCGGGGGCCCACGTGGATGAAGGAGTCCCGTCCCTCAAGCAGGAGCATCCCCTGGAAACCAGCACTGATGCCTGCCTGGGCCCATTTGGACAGGGGCTTCAGAAGGCTAAAAAAGATTGGTACCCAGGAAGTAAACAGCCCTTTGCAAGCCTCCCTGTCCAGTAGACAGATGATCACTGCCCTCTCTAGCCCAGCCAGGGGACCCAGAGAGGAGTTCCAGCTGTTGTTGGCAGCTATTCCAAGGGCCCTCCTCCTCCCTGCCCCTGCAAACAGACATGCATCCATACACATTTCTTAGTTAGGAAAAAAGAGAAAAATCTCAGGAGAAGCATTAAGACACATATCTCTTCCCCTTTAGTAATCTGAAATTGTACAGAAAGCATGGGGCGCCCAAATACGTACCATTCTCTCCACTTCACTGTGCTGCACCCCTGCACCATCACAGAACACCCTCCCAGCCACCACCCAACTGCACCAGCTCCTCAAACAAATCCTGGCCCTCGAGTGCCTGCTAATGGGGTTGGTACTGCTCTGCCAGCCCAGCAACAAATGACCATCCAAGATGTGGCTTGGGCCACACTGTCCTTCCTTGTGCAGGCCATGGTTTTATCAGAGCACTGAAAACCCAGGGGCACCGTGGCAGGTGACCATAGGAGACCTGCCCCTGGAGAATTTAGGGCCACCATGGTAGGAAGAGCAGGGATTCTGGAGTCGGACACTCCTAAGATCAGACCCCCCGCTTGCTGTCTGCTCTCTGGGTACCCCTTAGCCCGTCTCCTACTCCCCGGGACTGTCTCCTCTTGGGTGCATTGGAAAGCTCATGTGTGGCATCATCTCACAGGGTGAGGTCAAGACTCAATGAAGTACTACCTGGGCTCTACAGGTCTCTCCCCCAGGGTGTCCCTGCCCCTGTGCAAGCCTCCTTCTGCTGAATTACCCAGCCAGCTTTACCAAACCACCTGACATTCCTTCCAGAAGACTCCAGGCAGAAAAACAGGGTTAAAGACCTACCCCTTCTGAGCTCTGTTTTCGACTGTCTAGTGCAGAAGCAAGCCCTCCGACAGCCTGCGGATCCTCATAGGTTACCCTGGAGAGGAAGCAGCAGCAGCAGAGTTAGTCTCCCCCACTGGTCATGGAGAGATGGGGCAGTGGCCTGTAATTGCCTCTATCCTATGGTACTTCCTCAGATGTCCTTGGAAAAACATTTCCTGAGACCTTGGCATTGAGCAGGGGCTAAGGGCTCATGCTGTCTCCCTGCAGTGGAAGCTAGGAGGCCTGGGTCCTTGCTCGGCCTGAGCCACCGGTCTCCTCTGCAATCTCAGGTTTTGTGCACCTCAATATCCCTCTCTTGAGTAACAATACTGGGCATCTCTGAAGCTCAATGACAGGGTGTTCAAAGTGCCCTAACACTCCTTAGAGGGAAGACGAGATAAAGGCAAAGTAACATTAATTCTTATTTTATAAGCAGCAGCCTCAGTGGCATTTGACAGGGAAGGTGGTCTCTGGGACCCCAGACAGTCACTGACTATGGGAGGCCTTCCTCCACTCCCTGACTCCTTTAGCTGTATCTGTTTTACAAGCAACTTTTGCTGGTGAAGGGTACATGGGACCTTGGGTTTCTGGTTACCCTGCTGAGTCCCAAGCAGGACTCAGGGTGCTGAGTGCATCAAGATGCTGGGTTACAGGGAGAGGTGGGAAAAAGTGTGTCTCACCTGCCTTTAGGCTAAACAGAAAGCTCAAAACATGTACAGTGCCTTCCTGAGATGTAGGGGATTCTCTGTTTTGGAATCAACTCCTTGAATTCCAGATGGCTCATCCTAGCCAGAGCTGTTATCAGAGGAGCCTCTGCCCTGACCACTTATTTCAGTCAGGACAATCTTGCTGTAAGGAAGAGGTTCACCCTGCATGGCTACACCCTCCTGCTTCCGAGCTTCTCCTGTGGATGAGGGGCCAGGCGGGGTGGTGTCTGCAGTGGCAGCAGCATGGGGAGGAAAGAGAAAAGCTGTCTGTTACAGCTGACAGGAGAAATCACACTCCAATCAACCCCAAGGGCAGGAGAGTGTGTGTGGGGGGGACGGGGGGGGGCAGTTAGTGTTTATTCAATATCTGCATCTAATGCCAAGTCTTTATAGCCATGCTTTAAAGTTCCTGGCAGTCCTGGACATGGCAAATAAAGGCCTTTTTGTGCTAGCCTGTGACCAGGCATGGGTCAATCCCCCCCAGTATCTCTAGAGAGCCACTAGAAGGGGCCCCACATACGTCTTACGCTGCTCAGCCAAGGAGTTTCCTCTCGTCTGGGCAAACATGTCAAAGCCGTCACGGGGGTTACATTGCTGGAGTGAACTGAGGGTGCCACTGACGCTCTCTGTCCCCAAGTCTGTGGCAACAAAACAAATGGGTGGCAGCTGAGAACAAAATGTGGATTGTAGATTTGATGGAGGGTCCCCAAATTAGGACACCAGCCAGATGAGTTTAGGTTCCATGGCAGGGGGTGGGGGAGGACTTTCCTTGGTACTCCCAGTGTACACATGCGAGAGGAGCCAGCGTGGGCCAGATAGGGGTCAGGACAGCCACTGCCCCCAAACTACTAAAGGAGAGGAAAGAGTCCTAATGAAAGGGAAATTGCTGGGGTGACAAGGTAGGGACTGGCCCCAGTGCACCTGAAGATTTTCCATAATGCCCTTCTCGGATGGGCTCCTCATTAACTCAGTCACAATGTCAAGGACCTGGGACACCTATTTATTCAGAAAATATTTCTGAGGCACCCAACATGCTCAGAGCTAGATCTCAAGTAGACCAAATTAAATCTGATATGGTTCTCAGCTTCAAGAAGTTCGGAGTAGGCAAGAGAGAAGCCATAGCAGTGCTTGGCTTAAGATGTCAGGAAACACTCAAAACCAGCACAAGAGTGGGTCTGTAAAGATGAGTGGGAGGATGCTGGGGGAGAAGGGGAAAGGCACATACAAAGGCACAGGGTTTGGAGGCCAGGGCGTGTGAAGTGAACAGTGCTCACAGGAAGAGATCTGTGGAGGAAGTGGCTGGTAATACCCCAAATGCCAGGTAAAGGAGTGGGTGGGAAGACACTAGACTTTTTTTTTTTTTTGAGACAGAGTCTCACTCTGTGCCCAGGCTGGCATGCAGTGGCTCAATCTTGGCTCACTGCAACCACCAACTCCCTGGTTCAAGTGATTCTCCTGCCTCAGCCTCCTGAGTAGCTGGGATTATAGGCACGTGTCACCACTATCAGCTGATTTTTGTATTTTTCATAGAGACAGGGTTTCACCATGTTGGCCAAGATGGTCTCAATCTCCTGACCCCATGATCCTCTCGCTTCCGCCTCCCTAAATGCTCCAATTATAGGTGTGAGCCACTGTGCCCAGCTTTTTTTTTTTTTTTTTTTTTT